GTTCTCTCCTGATCAGTTCTCTATTTATAGTGACCCGGTTTGTTGATCTACGCGAGATCTTCATGGTGTGCCCTGAGTTTGAGCAATTTTCCCTGTGTCCGGTTTCCTGTATTTCGATTCCTGCTTCGCCTCCTAGATTCCGGGTTTCTGCCCATCCCTCTCAGTACCAACGCCGATCGCCTGACCCTTGCCTGGAACACTGGCCTTGACTTTTGCCTCAACCCTCCCGGAACCAATGCCCATCGCCTGACCTTCGCCCGAATTAATAATAATATTAATTATTATTGATCCCTGTGGGGAAATTCTCTTTTTACCCCTCCCTCAACTTGCTCTTTGTAGAGTAAGTTGTCTGTGAAGGGCTGCCTCCTGTAGCAGCGCCCAGGGAGCTGGGGGTTAAGGGCCTTGCTTAAGGACCTTCAGACGTGCTGAGGCTGGGTTTGAACTGGCGATCTTCTGATTACAGGCACACAGGCTTAGCCTAGTGAGGCACATGCTGGCCCTCCAGGGATTACCGACCACAGTCTTCGGCTTTGCCCCCTGGTTACCGTTACCCGAAGCTGATCTGCATCAGTGTCTATCTTCTGACCTTCACAATAGTGTTAGGCTTGAAGTGTAATCCTGCTCCAACTCATGCACATTATGAATCTCTTCGATAATTGTCTGTATTGTTGAAGCTGGAAGGAGGAGCTGCAATTTTAGGTAGAATAAACATACATTCCTAAGAAAGGTTTCATTGAAATTCTGTGGCAAGTCAGTGCCTTCAGCGCTATCTGAGTTGTAGGAAGCCTCTTCACACGGAGTGCCAGAAGACTGCGAAATAATTTCTCTGTATGTCACTTATGCTATTTACAGAACATGCAGTTACTGGACATGCCACAGGTCACCCCTCCACTACATGTTCCTTAAGGTGGGATATAAGCTCTTTCACAGTTTGAAATTGGTGCTTGCAAAGCGAAATGGCACATTTAAAATTACCTACAATGGTTGTAGGAGTGACAGAGGGTCCAGGCAGATTGTGAACCTGATTGAAATGAGCTTTAAAAGCTGTATGTGTGTGAAACGTACGCTTACAGTCAACACCATATGGCATTTAAATAAAACAATGCAGTTCGTTCCTGTGAATTCTACAGTGGAGCACATGACCCATATTCTTATTTAGCTATAGCAACAGCTATTAAAACTGCCAATTTAAATACCCTCCATGTACATGAATAAACAGCATGGAAAACAAACTTCAGCAAACCCCCCAGGTTAAATATCCTCTGGTCAGTCAGCATTATTTTTAACTGCAAAATATATTCTTGGTTACAAACACCAAACGGTCCAGTATGAGGGAAATTAATTGTTAGCGTACCACTGCAAAAGGTCATTCTGTCGTTATTCTTCAGGTCTTCACATAGATGGGCACGGTTTATCAGCCATAAGGAAAACTCTGCTAATTTCGTTGCTCTGGCAACAATTAAATAAACCAATTAAAGAAAGAAAACAAGTAGTAGGAGACCTATTTCTGCTCAGTGAGTTGAGGAGGCAGAGCCCACTTAGTTTGAAATTCGCACACACAGCCGTTAATTTTGGCGGGAATGTAAAAGGTACAGTCACACCCCGCCTTAACTTCACACATCTTTGGCGGAAAGTGATTTTGTAGAAAACAAGTAACACCTGGACAGTTTTCAAGAACTAAGGCGAAGTATGAGGCATGAAAACAGTTTTTAAAAATAAATTAACGCTTAGTCCATGAGGGGCCCAGTGGAGGGCAGTGTTGATCTACGAGACGCGAGATGGCCGCCGGAAACATCCAAACTGAAGCATGGCGAGTGGTATATCTGTTTGCTCGCTTCTTCAGTGTCCTTATAAACATTGTGCTAGGAGTATGCTGACTCAAATCTAAATGGCAGTGCTCTGGAACGCATTTCAAGAATTTAGCCGCAGGAAAATGTAAAATCACCTTTTTGTGCTATTTACCCATACAAAACTAAAAAGGCTTAATTTATTTTGCACAGCATTTACATTCACAATAAATATCACAGCATAGCGTAATGTCACAGCTAAAGAGATACTACAAGATATGCTTGTGTCCTCATCAAACTTTAAACTGGTTTAAACCGGATTGCTATTGACCTTCACTTGCCTTATGTATTCTCACCAACGGACTTATATCATAAATCGGTTCTGAGAGCCCCGTCAAAGCCGATTTTTGACGTAACCCGAAAATAATGCCTTAAAATGCCTGAGAAGGATTAATAAATAGATGTAGTCATTTCCATTGATGTAAAAGCACCTTTAAATCATTATGGAAATCAGTATTCATTTTGCAATCTCAAAGTCGGTATTCACCTAGTATTCGCAAAAACAAAATAGAAATTACTGTAATAATGGTGACTACAGACTACAAATGAAGTACTTTGGATAAACGGCATAAAGTCGAGTTTGACGTATGCCAAAATGAGGTATTCCAGGGTACTACTGTATATGGCATTTATGACTTTGCTTCAGCCCACTTCAGCCTAAGCCAGAGGTTTCATATATACAGTGGTACCTCAGTTCTCAAACTCATTAGAACTCGAATTTCTTAAGTCGAACCAACCAGTTCAAAAAAAAAATTACCTGGAGCTCGATCTGAATCTCAGAAGTCAAACCGTGAATGCCGACGTAAGATAACTTGTACGTGTGGGGAAATGAGTCACACAGCACGTCTCTCAGCAGAAACAAAGGGTAACGCTTCAGTCTCAGCCTCACATTCGCTGTGATAGCATCGTGCATGTTTACACTAGCTGAATACATATATTTAGACAGTAAAAATACATTTAGACAATGATAGACAGTAACAATTATTATTATTATATAATAAAATACATTTAAAAATAAAGATTTCTTATTCATTATTTTAATATTTATAAACCATTAATATGTTTCATTATAATAATATTGTTGTACCAAGCGGGGACGGAACGGAGACAAAGGTGCAGACGTCAGGATATCGGGGAATACGGGGTTTAATTACAGGTAAGTCAGGCAAAACGCAGACGGACAATACAATGACCGGACTGGGGAAACAAACTGAAACGTGGACGAAATACAGAGGGCTAATGAAACCAACTAGAAACAGCTGATCACACGGGGATTCCACACGGGATTAACGAGGGGGCGTGGCACACAAAAGGAGCGGACGATCGGGGCAGGGAACATTGTTTGGATACATTTATTTTCTTACTGTACAAATTACTGTTTTGATAAATCTGCTTAGATGTGTTTAGTACAGTATATGCTCTTCTTGTTTCATCCGGTTCATTTTGTGTTTAAATGCTAAAAAAAAACTTATTTAGGTGTAATTTTTTGGGGCCGGGAACCAATTAATTGGTTTTCCATTATTTCTTATGGGGAAAATTCGATCACAACTCGAACTTTTTAGGATTTGATCCGGAGTTCTGAACGGATTAAATCCGAGTTCTGAGGTACCACTGTATATTGTTTCTTTTTTTTCCTTATCAAATTCATTCTAATTTAGTGTATTCTAAATCTACTGGTGAAATTGTACTGTACTGTCCATGTGCATATGTAGTGTATACAATCATACATTCATTTATGTACAGATTGCATTAATTTACTATGCTACACTGGTGACAGGAAACTCATGACTCAAAATTTTCACTAGTTCACTTGTTCTAGTAATTTGATTTGAAATATAAAAATTAAATGGATGCAATAAAAACAAATAGGTTCTTTTAAAACTTATGCGTGTGTATGTAAAATCATAACAGCAGGGCATTCTCGGTAAAAAGAGATTAATTATCCAAAAGTGGTGTCTGGCCAGTGAACACAAGAGGTAATTATAATGTGAAAATTCACCAAATCATTGCCCATAGATAGATAGATAGATAGAATTTATTTATCCAGAAGGAAATTTAGGTGTCCAGTAGCTTATAAACAGTATACATACACACAGACCTATGACATTCACGCACACATACTGCAAAAAAAAAGACAAAAAAAACTGAACCTAATACGGAGCCTACTACTGAACATGCTCTTCTGTTTGGAGAAAGCGGTGTGCAGAGGGTGACAGTCATTGTCCTGTATTGAGAGCAGTTTGCTCAGGGTCCTCCTATCTGCAACTGGTGTCAGTGACTCCAGCTCCATGCCCACCACAGAGCTGCTTTTCTCACCAGCCTGTCCAGCCATCCAGCATCCCTCTTCCTAGTGCTGCCTGCCCAACATACCACAGCATAGAAAAGGACACTGGCCATGACAGACTGATAGAACATAAGCAGGAGTTTGCTGCAGACATTGAAGGACCCCAGCCTCCTAAGGAAGTAGAGCCTGCTCTGTCCTTTCTTGTAAAGTGCATCAGAATTGGCAGACCAGTTCATTTTTTACAGTGTATGTATATTAAAATAGCATGCAAAACTTAGTAAACCCTATAACTTGTTCACGTTTAGTGAGTTTGTGAAAAGTCCAGTTGAATGATGATTTTTGTGGCCTGTGTGTTTGGAAATGAGACTTTCTGTTTTTCCTCAAACCATTGGAGTTGGTAGTAATATGTTGTAAATATGCCAAAGAAAAAATATTTTACTGCAGACAGAAGGAAAAATTATGTAACACCATTCACCTATTCTTCACCGGCAAGCTTGGAAAGTTTCACTAGCAGAAGTAGGCTGGTTCTCACTGACATGCAATACTGGCACCTCTTGAGAATTTGTAAGTTGTATTGTTAAAATGGTTAATGTCAATGGGTAATGGGGCTGTCTGTGGCTCATCCAGTTAGGACACTGTGCCTGTCATTGGCAGGTTGCCGATCCTGTGATCGGGCAAGTGTTTTTGCCTTTGGGCCCTTGAGAAATGTCCTTAGCCCTAATTTCTCCTGGGACTGGTTGATCATGATTTCCTAATTGTGTTGCTTAGGATTAAACCATTTGATAAAGAAATAGATTTAAATGTAATTTGCGGTTGAACAGATATGGAAAATACAATGCATTCATTGAACAGGTCCGGACGGTGTTTGGAAAATGGAACTCATCTATAGTGTCCTTACTGAAAGTTGGACAAAGGAGATAGAGGAGAGGAAACCTGAGATCCTTCAACAACCATGGAGGACAGTTGAGTGGAACCATAGGTATGAAACCTATTTTTATGAAATATAATCAGCAGCTTTTTTAGTGGTATCACATCATTTTATGATTTTTAAAATATGCATAAGTATTTTAAGTGGTTTCAGTGGCAGGTGGCTAATGAGATGTAAAGGAAGCTATTGTAATATATCATTAGATATAGGATTATTTGTATTCCTGATTCATTTTCACTAATTCCTATTTCCATTCCAATTTCCATTCCTTCAGCACAAAAATCAATATCATGCAATACCTAAAAGATTACAAGCCCACTATTGATTCAGTGCCTCGGGCTCGGATTCTTCTAATTGGTGCAGTTGGTGCTGGAAAATCGAGCTTCTTCAACTCCATCAATTCCATCTTCCGTGGCAACATTACAAGCCAAGCTAATGCAGGTTACCAGGAAACCAGCCTGACCTTGCAGGTAATGCTACACTGTAAAAAAAAAAGGTTCAGCCAACTCAAAAATTCAAGGCAACATGCTGCAATACATTTTTGAGTTAAGCTAGCCAACTCAGTTACAGAAGTTTAACAAACCTATAGACAGAGGTTCAGCTAACTTTGACTTCAGAGTTAAGGCAACACTGTAATACAAGTTAGATTAACTTAGGTACAAAGTTTCAATAA